GTTGACACCTTGGTTTGACCAGCAAAAACAATTATAAAACAAAGTAAGCGTCTTCTGTAACATTAAACTTCATAACATTTTTTCAGTAATCTAATATCAAAAGCTCAATCGGCACAATTGTTGTAAAATTATGGATACTTGCAAATATCATGATTACGAGCAATGCTATATGAAAAGCTTAGTCAGGATAATTTGGAATCAACAGTTTGTTATGATATTACCGGCTACTTGACTTCCAAACTGTTTAACATTGAAATGGCTGTTGTTTTTAATCTAAGTAATTTTTTTGGTAAATCTAAGAAGGCGTAAAAAACTCATAACAAAATTTAGACCGTATATAGTCTGGTAATTGCCAAAAAGTACAAAATCACTACGGTTTAGTGGCTACTGAAACTTTCACGTGAAAGATAGAAACGTCGTCATGTTTTGTTAAATGACAGACATTCAGATCATTAGGAGATTTTGATAGTTAATCAAAGTTTTGTAAACCAAACAAGTTAAATTTGAGAGAGATTATATGAATTAGTAATAAATGTTTTGGACATGAATGTTTATCGGTAAAAACCATTAAAAAAAAACAGATAAATAAAACACATTAATTGTAATCATTAACATAGTGACAAGCAAGCAATTATCATAAATTCTTATCATGAAATGCGCAGGTACCTACTTCGATGATTAAGCAAGGAATTCTAAGGATGATTTTATTAGACATGTTCATAAAATATTATCTTACTTTAGTGCTAAACCATATTGTCTTTTAGATAAGCTTACGTTCTATTTCTATATTTTTAAATAAAAGAAAATATTTTGTAATTACATTTTAATGCATAACAAGAAATTTAACATTTATTTAGTTTATTTATAATGTTTACTGCACTATTCATATTGAGTTTACATAAATATTAATTTAATCTGAAAATGTATGTTATCAACTTCACTGTGGTACGGTATCAGTTAATGACCAGAAAATATTCGCTGGACGCTGCGTCTTATATCTAAGAAAATATTTCTTCTTTTATAGAACGACGATAAGCGTGTATTAAATTAAGTGTTTATTGTTTCGTTGTCCATTGCGATATAGTATTCTGACGGCAAATAACCATTTTAAGTGGTTACTTTGGATATTTTAGTGAATTATATCAAAAATAATATTTTGATGGAACTCCACAGTGTGGTTATATTTTTCGGACTTGATCGCAAGACATCAAAAATTTCTATTGCATAAAATACATTGTATACAATTTTTTGATACCCTTATTAAGTAACTGCATCTATGAAGTGGTTTAATTTTTTTAATAAACACAAAGACAGACACGGGTGATTGACTTTGTCTTGAACAGTTCTTTTTTTTCAGATACAAATTTATATAATGTGTAATAATAAAGATTTTATGAATATTAAAATGACTAGGTCTAGATTAATCATCATGGCCTTCAAGGAAATAGTTTTTTTGTTCCCATCGCGCTACTACATCTCACTTTTCTTATCTCTTAATTTATTTAAATGTATTCATAATATATTATAGATTTTACATGTTTGATATAATATATCGTATAAATTACTATATGTATAAGTATTCCTAGTGCGAGTGTCGCTTGATTCTACAACCGCATATTTAAATAAATATTATATATTTTACTTGAACAATTAATAAACTTGGTTAAAAAGTGAAATAAAATCCTAAACACGTCACACTGCTGGACAAAATTCTTCACTTTTTTCAGAGAAGGTCAAAAATCTGCTGAAATATTTTTAACTTCTCAGACATGCAAATTACGTCACGATGGTTTTCTTCACCTTTTGTGCTTCAGCTGTTAAAGTTGTCATAAAAATATCCTTATTTCAAGTTGAATGGGTCGTAGCCACTTACTAGATGAGGTAATCATTTAACTTAACTTTCTTTTCAGGTGTTGGCCGTGTATGTGCATACCCTACTGTGTGGATTCTTGCAAAAACTCTGACCACTATTGCCCTAACTGTAACGCATATCTCGGTACATATCAACGATAGTTCATACGATCACAGAATAAATAATAGTACCACGTAATACAATATCAATTATAATTTGACTGTATTTTTAAGCGAAATACAAGGCTTTTTCAGAGTATTAAATGAGTAAAGCTGAATATTCTCCATTGTTGGTTGGTTCATTTTTAACGGCAACTTGTGTGAAATTATTATATTATATTATCAATCAATTTATATTATATTATAAATAATGCAAGTTTGTTATTAGTTTATAATGTTTTAATGTTAATGTTAATAAAAGGACAAAATTTACATAATCTTATAGGTAAAATACGTTCTAAAGATAAGTAAAATCTAAATATCAGTTTTTACCAACACTCATATAATTTATGTTTAAATTAATATATACAGTGTTGTATTAAGGTTCTGTAACAGTACTCTTTGTAAACTGTAAACATTTTACAAACAGTAAGTAAGATAGGATCATACTCGACAATATTCACATTTTATTTTATATTGTATTTTAGACATTGTTCTTTGTGTATTTCCCATTATTGTTTAGTACCTTTTTCTATCTTGTAAAATGTCTCTAAGATTTATGAAGATTGTTTATTTTGATACGTAAAAATGAGCTCCTAGAATAGAGAGTACTTAGCAGACAAGAAGTTTTGACGCATAAGTGCCTTGAGAAAAATAATCATTTACGACTTTACGATGTGTTGAGCGTTATCATCTAAATCTCCCCAAAGCTTCGGAATGTAACGTATCGACAAATTGTGAAAAATTTTGTGCATAATATACACTTCATATAAGCTTGTACAGAGCATAGATACTATAGTCTTTAACTATCTAACAGATAAGCTACTGTCTAAATCTTCAGCATATTGTAAAGAATTTTGTGAACTAAATACACGTCTGTATCTTATATAATTTAAAACTGTAGTAATACTTCAGAAAGTATGTAGGAACTACCTAGTAATTTCTTCCACGTCTGTTTTTTTTTTTCGAAACATTGCACGGTATGAAATTTTAAAACTAGTGCCGATGCAGATGCAAAGGTAAAACCTTTTGCTAGCGTCATAAACGGAGCGGAGTAAAAGTCTAAATTACTTCTCTCTTATAATCTTTTTCTTTATTTCAACAAAAGATTCAATCAAATGGTGTGACATTGCGCAGATGTAAATTAGCGAATTAATTAAGAAAAAAAAAATTCTAATTCTAAAAAAATGGAATTTGAATTATATATCGCTATGGGATCCGCTCCAATGCTATAAGAATTAAAAAAATAAATAACTCGCATTGATAATGAGCTGTTATGAACCTAGAGAGAATACTATCTTATAGTCATGAATTTATAGTACACTTAACGGCTCTTAATACGTCTTCAAGATTGTTCAGATGTCTGGAATAAGGTAAAAACGGGACAGTTTTTAAATTCTATTACATTTATAAATAGATGGATACATGTCAAGCTAATGTAACATAAAACCTGTAATAGGAATAATTGAGCTACTTCTGTTCCCAAAAAAAATATACGAATAATTTAATAGATTTCAAAAAGTAGGTTATCAAATCGTTTGTATTTTTTAAATTTATCTGTAAAGTGCCTATATTTTCACAGTTATCCCGTATATATTTCAACCAGATCCGCAAAAAACCGGACTGTTTTTTTTTTCAATAATACAATTATTATAAGTGCGTTCAGTAAGTTTATATTATGTACGAGTAGTGCAAGTGTTATTACATTATTACTAGTAATTAAGTTATGCATAAAATAAATTTATCTGCATTTACATACTTTTATTTTTATTAATACAATAAAAGACTTTATTTTACACTAAGAAAATAAATTACATAACAGGAAATAAACAAAGATAAACAAAAAGAGGTCTTTTTCCCAAGTAGCATTTTCTTCGAAGCTACCTACTATCACAGAATAAAATAATAGTTCAAGGAACTACTGTATAATCCATCATCAATGACAAAATAAAAATGACAGAAGCAAAGTTTGTATACTTACAGTGATTCCGGGATACAATATCTAATAGTTCAGTATTATGGCGAAATAGTTACGACATGTTTTTGTAAAATTACGCCACATTTTATTTTTAGATATTATAACAGACGTCCTGCCAGTTAATGCCAGGTTATGTTCACTAACTTTTTTTTTATTTTAGCGTATGCAATTTAATTTATCATTTTCTGCACTTGGTTGAAAAAAAAACAAATGAAACCAAAATTTTAAATTTTGTATCTTTCAAATAAATTTGTAATTTTTGTTTAGTTTATAAATATAAACCTCTTCCATCGAAAATAAATGTATGTGTTACGGCTAATAGCCGAAGTACGGATGCACCTCGTTTTAACCGGCTACAACTAGGTTAAACTTAGATGTATCCTACTTATCTTCGGTTAGAACTAGGTTTAGCCTTCATCATAGCGGCTAGTACTAGGTGCAGCCGCACACCAGTGGTTAAACCTAGGTGTTTCCTATTTATCATCGTCTACAACTAGGTTTTCAGTTTAGTTAAGCATTTTGGTTTTGTTTTGAGATACTTGTCTTGCGTTACCCGATTGATTATATTATATTGAAAAAATAAAAGACAGGGATGTTGAAGTGACATTTATAATTATACTTATAAGTAATTAATAAAACTCACAATTTAAAACTTCTCTGCAGAAGTAAAAGAACTAGACATCGTACGCGCAAGGATACAAATGTTAAACATAAAAAAATTAAGTTTTACTATGAAATAATCAACCAAGTATTTGTACTCCTCTCTCACATTTTTATGTTAAAATAAATAAGATCTCTTTGACTCAGTTTTAATTATTAAAAAAAAACAATCAACAAACTCTTCATGTGATAGTATGTTGCAAGAATCTATCACTTATTCAAACAAGATAAACTTGAATGACATTTAGAATTCTACAAAATACAGGCTGCTTTACAGAGGCACTTTCTATTACCACATTTAGTTTTGCAATGTCATCTTTTGTATCCTTGTCCTCCAGTTGTGGATATGGCATTAGCTATTTGGAGTAATGATTTTTTTTTCTTCAGGAGAAACAATATCAACGTCTAAAAATTTCGCCTCGTATACAGTGAATTGATTCCTAGAAAATAATTCAGTAATAGTGTCAAACTGGTTACCCAATTTATACAGTCCATCATCATCACATTCGAGTACAACCATTAAAACATTGGGAAAGTCGCCTCTACCTCTATCAACGTCAGGAATTTTCACCCGAACTGTGTCACCTATTTTGCACGGAGGAAACTTTCTGTTAGATAATGCTGTCATTTTATTTGCTTGTACTGTCAACGATTCTTTTGCGCCTTTTCTATTAGTATCTATTATCTGTCGTTTAATATTGAGGTCACATTTTTCATTTTTGTTTTGATTACAAAGCTCGCAGTCTGTTCTGTTTATTGCTGCTTCTCCTACAGTTTCTTCCTGATTTACATCTGTTATTGTCTCACTTTCAGCATTATTTCCGTCTCCTTCTAACATCTTAAGAATTTGTTCCAAGTCTTCCTCGTTCTCTATATTTTCGATTGTCGCAGTTGGAAATGCTGAAGATCTTAGGCCCACTTTTACGTCACAACCGAACATAGCTTAGTAAGGTGACCTTTTGTGTTCCGTGATGATAGGCTCTATTTTTCATAAGTTAGACAAATCTAAGCCCTTGTGATCACTTTTCGCAGTTTTCGTCTTGTGGCGGGCGGCGGACTGCGCGCGAGCAAATCGGCTGCCTCGCCAACCCCTTCCCCGCATCTATACCCCGATGCCAACTTGACGAACTCTTTAGTATACCTAATTATTGCAGCATGCATTTAGTTTTTACCACAGAGCAGAGGGACTCCGCATTAACAGACATTTTGTTAAGTACACAATTTTATAAAGTATAAAATTTCATTTCAGTACATAATATAATTCAACAAAATTATAAATCTTGTTTCGGACGAAATCGAATCAATTGGGAAACGCAAGACAAGAATCGCAAAACAAAACCAAAATGCTTAACTGAACTGAAAACCTAGTTTTATCCGATGATAAATAGGATACACCTAGGTTTAACCACCGGTGTGCGGCTGCACCTAGTACTAGCCGCTATGATGAAGGCTAAACCTAGTTCTAACCGAAGATAAGTAGGATACATCTAAGTTTAATCACATGTGGTCGGCTGCACCTAGTTGTAGCCGGCTAAAACTAGGTATAGCCGCACTTCGACTATTAGCCGTAACATATATACTAATTTTCATTGTGGTCGATCAAATAGATTTTGACTTAAACCACTTCATAAATACAAACATCCTTTTTTATTGTATAGATTACCAATGTGTAAGTTTAGGCTTCGTTCTTAAAAATGAATGCAATTGTTGTAATTGCAAATTGCAAAACATTTAGGTTAAGAGAATGGATATGGCTGATTAAGAACCTGCCATTAATTCAAGATGACACGTCACTAAAAATAAAAATAAATATTAGGTTTCAGATAATTATATAATGTCTAAGATTAAGTATTTAATACATACGACTCACGCAATTTAAAAATTCAATTCGGCCTTGATTTTTTATAAATAGCACGAACTGGTTCGCGTCTTTTATTTTCTTCGTATTTCGCTACTTTGATGACCATGAAATATGCACGCTTGTTTATTTATAATATCGTTCAAATAGCCGCGAGAAATGTATTCCGCATCGTTGATAGTTTTTGTATTATTAGTTTTGTACCTTTTTTATCTTCCTATTATATTTTGGGTTCAATTTTATATTGATAAATATATCAATAGATATCAAATTTGGTTTTATTACAATTAACGCTTGGCGAATTTTATTTTGAGACCGAGCCACCTTTTAATATAATAAATTTGAACTTTACGTCTTCTAAAATCAGAATTATCTTAATAAAGTGACTGTTCATCGTTCAGGCTACATCTTCATCATTTTTTAAATCTGTTCTCTCAAGATACTCCTTCAATCTAGGAAATAGATAAAGATTACTTTGTACAAGTTCTTTCTTTTTAGTTGCAAAAGCGGACATGTAAGCGCCGGCTCGCAGCGTCATATTAACACTTAGCAGCACATGATATTTCTAGCCACACATCTACTCACATGGGTGATCTACGCCTCCTCAACCTCTTTACACCTCTTTACAACAACATAAAAAATATAATTCATTACACCTCCATTTGTTGAATTATAGTCAAAGTATTGTAATTAGACCACAGACGATATGTTACTTGAATAATTAAAGCAGCCATTTTTTTGCAACTTGTCATATTTTTTGACATTAGTTTACTTGTTGCGAAAGATGGCAGAACAACGGCGGCCACGTGGCGAGTAATATTTAAATTTTGTGCAAATCTATAGTACTCACACTATTTTTTGGTGTGAAACTATAATCCAAATAGTCTTCTTTGTAATGCAAACAATATTTTACAGATTGCAATAGTTATTTATGGTATATTTGAATTTCACTACTTATGTTATATATTTATTTACTACATTGGTTCTTAATTCTATACCTACATGTTACAAGTCCCGATGTTATATAGGTATTACCTATATAACAGTAGGAGATTACATTTATTTTTGTTACATTTATTTATACATTTTTCAGTTTTGAAAGATGCAGTCATTACTGACGCCCTCGAAGATTCGAACCTGGATATTTTATCAGACGACGATGACGGTAAATAGTCAGAAGAGTCGCTTCCTGTGAGAGAGTCTAAGTGATTCTGATTCAGGTTCTTCCTCAGAATCTGAAAGCGAATCTCGGCCGTTGTCAGAAATTTCCACTTCGTCGTCATTCTGTCGATTCTACAACTAGAGGCGGAGCTAGAACACGAGGATGTCATTCAAGACAACGGATGGGTGTAAGAACAAGAGGAGGACGGAGATGACAGTACCTGGAATGGAAATTTTTCTCCTATGGAGCGGTCATTGTTCCAACTAAGATATATATTAGTGGATAAGAAGTTATGGTCGCCAGAAGACTTTTTTAAACAGTATATGTAGCACCAAAAGGAATTCCCCAGCTAAGTGAATTCAGACTATCGCTTGGAGAGTATTTGATTGCAAATAATACTTTGTTATCAGATTTTGAGTCCTGCGGTGATTACGATGAACTGCAGCTAAAATACAAGAACCGACGAACTGAAATAAGACCTATGCCTGCTGAACAATTTCGCAAACACAAAGCAGAGCACTTATTAGACTACAGCGAGAAACAAAATCGATGCAGATACCCAAATTGTAAAAAGCACGCTACAGAAATTTATTTGTGCAGTATCCGAAAATGAAATCTCATTCTAAAATTTCATAAAAGTTTGTAACCATGAGGTATGAAGCAATTTTTAAATTATTTTATTCATATTATGAATGCAGCTTATGTATATTATTGTTTAATTTCGAAATAAGCAAAGATTTATGTTTTGTCTTATTATTCTATTGAGACTGGAAATATGTGAAAAAGAGATTTACAAATAGATTTAAGGAAACGTGAAACTGATCAACCGACTGTAATTATTTAACAAGGTATTAAAACGACAGTAGCAAATCTGCTGGCTTTGATTACTAAACCATATTTTTCTATTGTTTTTATCATAAATTTAATTAATAATAAGTAAAGATTTCAGACATTGTTATGTTTCGATTATATTCAGAATATTTTACGTAAAAATGCCCCCATTTTTATGTAAAATATTCTGAATATATTTCAATATATCCATAAATGTTGTAACAAATTAAGTGTAGTTCAATTTGAGTTTTATTTCAGTAGTCATTGAGAACCGATGTTGTTTGTATATAACATTGAGAAAATGCCAGTTTCCCACCAAAGATTTTTTATTTTATTTTTCCATGTAATTATAATTTTATTATAGCTCACTCATCTGATTTTTATAAAATTTTCGATCTTAAAAAATTTTGGGCCTCAGAAGAAAGATAACCGTATATCAGTACTATTTTTATCATAAGTCAAGATTTATTTTTAAGATATTAATTAAAAAAATTTTATAAATTTTTAGCACTTCTAGAATCAAACAAAACAGGATACAAAAAACACGTTATATTTTAGAGTTAACATTAGAAATGAAATCTAATATATAAAAATTAATTTTTATTCGTTCGTATTTTATGCGCTGCGGTACAATAGCTTGCAGTAAAAGTTTGTCAGCGAAGATTATAAGCATAGTTGGATCCGGTAGGTGGCGCTGTTATAGAATTCAGATATCACTCATGTGAACCTAGGGCAGATAACTAGTGTGTAGTAAAATTTCGAATCAAAATTTATCACATCGTTTTTCTGTTTACTGTTATTACTTCTTATTATCTTATAATTTACAAAAGAGGTATAAAGGCTATGAAAATACTAAAATCACTAAAATCACTAGGGCAACGCACATAATACTTCAATATCAGTAGTGTTCTTTTAACTCCTCGAGAGAGGCCTCCTAGACAACCATTATGGGATAGTTGTAGAACATCCGGTACTTTAGCTTTAGGGACACCCATTTCCAAATGATAGCTGTCTCCCCTACCATTTTACCATTTACAGGACAGAACTCCATCCTGAATCAGCAAACTGAGCCATTAAGCCCAATATATTTTCATGGTCGAACTCATCACTAAAACGTTGCTCCACTTCCACTTGAGCTTGGGATCACTGGCCTTCATCCATTCCAGAATCGGCTTGATGTCCGAATCTTCCTGCTGTGCGCGTTGTAGGCTTTCCTTCCAATCGTTGCTGAGGTGCTCTGTCCTGAGTATCCTCACAGATACGTCTTCCTTATCCTCTTGCCCAGTACAAGCTTGCATTCCTCAGGACAAGGTTTTCTTGACAACGTACATCTGCGTTGCCATGAGGTTTCCCGCTGTGATGTTCGAAAGTCGTATTACTGCAGTATTTCAATCCATCTCGCAACTTTTTCTTCTGGATTTTTGAACTGCAATAGCCAATTCAGTGCACCATGGTCAGTTTGTAAGTGAAATTCCAGCCGCAGAAGATGTTTTCTAATATACTGCAACGACTTTACCACAGCAAGAAATTCCTGTCTTGTTTTTTTTTGTTTATAGGATAGGATGACAAATGAGCACCCAGTTCACCTGATGGTAAGTGGTTGCTGTGGTCCAATAACATCTACATCTATCCTCAATTACGAATCAAAATGCAGATGCGTTGTCCTTCGTGAAGACTTAGGTGGAATGCCTCGTTTCCAGTAAAAAGGGTCTCTGGTTCTCTACACTCACCATACGAAATACAGCAGCATTAAGCTAATATTTGACGCTGGTATTCTGTGAAAGCGTGGTCCTTCCCTGGTCGAGCCGACCCTCATCGTGATATCGTGCTACAACTATACTAGTAATATAATTGCAGCGTGGCTCTACCACGAAAAAACTTGTGACACAATGGTTCCTTTCCGGCTTTAACAAAGACTTTCTGAAGTACGCTATCACATCCTCTTGATTAACATTACGTTAAGATAAAACACCGCCACGTTCTATATCACTTGCGTCTGTGTCAAGTATAAATTCATTGCCCGCGTCAAGGTTCTCCAAAATTGGTGTTTTGCACAGGCGGTTCTTGAGCTCCTGGAATTTGATATCAC